AGGAAATGCATCGAAATTTCGAGTCGAATTTCAATGTCTGCGCTTCGCTCCACATTCTGTGCTGCAGCCTTGAAAGGAGAGGCGTAAACGGCTAGATGATAGCCAGCGAATGGCCAGATGCGCGCAGCAGTCGGCAGAAGCCTTCAACTGCAGTTAAATGCCAAATGCGACAATAAGGCGCAATTGCCGACGGTTGCAGACGGCTGGGGCAGGTGGCAGGGGGGGCAGAGCAGAGATGTCGCCAAAGGGAGGCTGCAACGATTTTATTGTTGTAACAGAAATGGGCTAAGGTGTCAGGCAAACGTAACTGTGCGTGAGTGTGTGTGTGTGTGTGTGTGTGTGTGTGTGTGTGTGAGTGCCGGCGGATGTGTATGTGTAGGTATGCGTGTGACTGCAATGTCCTTGCAAGCAGGCAGGCAGTTCATTGCCCGTTGCAGCTGCAGCCTGCAAATGCCGCAAAGAGCACAGCAGCTGCGCAAAAGCAAACGTTGTGTGTGAGAGAGAGAAGCCACACCGAGTGTGAGAGAGAGAGAGAGAGAGAGCAGGCAGTTCAATGCACGCCAACTAGGTTTAAAGGGCAGCTGGGCAACGATGGAATCGAATCGAGCAGCCCCCAAAAAAATTTGCAGCGAGCGCCTATGACGTCATTAAAAAAGGAGGTTTGGCCTCCTTTGAGATTGTGTGAGTGTGTATGCGTGTGTGTGTGTGTATCGGCTCACTGTGAATGTGTTTAAAAAGTTTACAAATGTAAGTGCTAGCAGTTACTTTTGTAAGCCTGTGTGCGTGTGTGTGTGTGTGTGTGTGAGTGTGTGAAATGAGCACAAGGGCGTTTAAACCGGCCGTTGGGCTGACTATAAGTAGACGGGTTAAATGAAGAGTGCTTAATGCACACACACACACACACGGCTCACACATACGTCCATACAGCAACAAACGCAGCAAATGAAGCGTCAAATGCTAAGGCCAAAAATGCTTAGTTATATCAAATATCATATGAATAAGTACTATAGCCTACTTATTGAGAATATTCCAGAGCCGTAATTGAAGAGTAAAGCCAGAAAAGTGTATAAAAATAATAAACTAACTCTGAGTTTAAATTAAAAAAAAAAAAAATGTTAAGAAGTATAATAAAATATATAAAAAAAACTAAACAAAAGTTATTTAAAAATAAATAAATAAAAAAAATATAATATATGTATATATATGTTGAGTTTAAATTTAAAAAAAAATGTTAAGAAATATAATAAAATATATAAAAAAAATTTAACAAAATTAATTTAAAAAAAATTATATATAAAAAAAATATAATATATGTATGTATATTAAATTATTGTTTTTTATTTATAAACTGAATAGTTTGATTTTGAATTTAATTTTCAGAAGGATTTTGCTGTTGTTAAATATTTAATATATTTTTTTTTTTGGTTAGATTTTTAAATTTAAAAATGTTCAAATACAAATAGCCATTTTTTATGTTTATCATAATTTTATTTTACTTACTATTTAGATAAAAAATAAACAACTTACTTTTTATTTTTAATATATTTTTTATTTTTAATATATATATTTTTTTTTATTTACGTATATGCACATACACATATATTTCATTAAAATTTTTAATTATCTGTTTTTTTTTTTAATATAAAATATATATTTATGCTTGACATGGCACTCGCTCTAATTGCATGTTTTCGTAATGGAAAGATTGCAATAATTCTGTGGCCGAAACAGTGGGCACATGTAAAAAGGGTTCCGTCACGCGTGGCGTATGAGTAATTTGTCATGTCCACACCGCCGTCGCTAGATGTCGCTATCGCGCAAAGGGAGACAACGCTTGGGTGGAGGCATATACACGAATAAGAAGAAGAAGAACAATTATAAGAGGAGGCAGAACAAGCGAACACCATGTCCGGACAACAATGCCGTCTCAGCCAAACAATGAGGCAGAGCAATAACAATAACATGTTGCCACAGACGAGCCACAATTATTTTAATGCTGTCCGTCAATTTGAACCTTAACCCCACCAGGTGATTGCGGTTGGAGGGTGCTGGTGGCACTGCACAAACACGCGCCAGACAAATGCGCACAAACCCAAAAGGAGCTCACAAAAAAAAAACAAAAACCGACAAAGGACGAGGAACCTAAACACCAAAGACACAGGGCTAATTAGAAAAACAAATACACATGGTCAAATAGATACAGGAGTGGTTGGCGCGTCCCCAGGCACGTGCTAAAAAGGTCAAATGGAAAAATACACGAAATTTGCATGTGCCAACCGGAAGCTAAGCGAGAGTGCACAATGGTTGGGGGCGGCAGACGTCAGTTCTAGCAGTCCAGACTGGACTATACAATCTATACATAGTTATCAGTTAGGCGAGACTCTACTTATATATGTATTGTAGGGTAGAGGCAGACGTAACTACCGAATGGACGCGACTTTGGACAAGAGTCGTTCCCTTAAAAAATGAATCATAAATCGTGTAAGAACTAAACTGAGCTCTTAAATGATTTGTAACTCGTTTCATATAGATATAGTTATTAGAAAACCCCAGAGCTTCTTTTCGCTTCATTAGCTCCCTTGAGTGCAAGCTAATATAATTGGAATATTATCTAAATACTTTAATATCAGAGTAAATACGTAGAATTTGATACGGCACTGACTATAAACACTGCTGCTGTTGTTGTTTGGCTCAGCTCTCTGGGCTTTCCTCGGCCCTTTTCACGTAGTCCGGGTCCTTGGGAAAGAGATAGACCTGCAGCCAGTTGACAGTGTTGTGACGTCCACTGAACTCCGGCATCCAGTTGTAGATCAAGTGGCGCGAGAGCTCCTCCTTACTATCGAAACGATTCGAGTTCTTTCGGCAGGCCTCCACAAAGAACTGGGCAAAGTGTTGGCTGAGCTGAATGCCGTGCTGGGTGTGGGACTCAGCGTACGGGTCTTCTCGTCCGACGAGCTGCTCGTATGCGGTACGCTCGGGATGAAACTGGCAGCCGTAAAATGGATATTGCCTATGCTCGATGAGCGTGATGAATCTCAACCCGCTCCTCGCCTGCCCAGTGGCCAGCACATGCCAATCGTTGGCCGCAGCGCCCAGACTCTCTTCCGTGATGCAGTATTTTTGCTGATAGCAAGCGAATGGTTCGCTCTGCAAGCGTGTGTGCAACTCCGGACTGAGGCCCCGAAACATCGACGAATTGGCATAATCGTCAGTTAGCTGCAGCGGAAGGGCTCTGAATATTGTTTCGCCACATGATGCACGCTTCATCGACGGCGCTGCATTCTTCAGCATCAGCTGAAAGCCCAGGCATGTGGCCCAGATGGGGAAATAGTCGTTCTCTTTGTTTCGCTGGAGGGCCAGCTCATAGATATATTGAATCGACTTCACACAGTCATTGGTCATCCATCGAGCGACCTTCGCAGGGTTGACCTCTTCGTCCAGATAGACAGCGCCGCCCGTGAGCAGCACCCCATTGATCCGGCCCATCATCAGCCTATAATAATTATGGTCGCGTCCGATCCTACAAGAAATTTCATTTCATTATTTGCATTGCATGTGCATAAACAAACGCAACGAATTGCGCCGGGCACTTTGCCAATAACCTTGGCCGGCACAGTTCTCAAACTGTGCGAGAGAGAGAGAGAAGGGGGTATATTCGCTTTCTCTGCTAGAAAGAAAACAAACTCAAAAATGAATTTACATTTCAATCGGCTAGCTGTGTGGCAAATCAAAACCGACTGGCCAGATACCTGATATATGGGTGTATTAGATAAGAACTACTATATAAAGTATTTTATCTGTTATTGAACCTGAAGTGGGTTGCGAAAGGAGTTCCGAAATATGATAGGCATATGAGTACTCTTTTCAAATTTTCATCAGATACTATATATATATACATATGTGTTTATTTGATAAGAATTACTATATAAAGTATTTTATCTGTTATTGAACCTAAAGTGGGTTGCAAAAAGAGTTCTAAAGCTATCCACAAATCCACATATGAGAGAGAGGTATATTAGAGAGCTAAACAAAGGGGGAGACGAATATAAGGCCACATCTAGACTAGACTATAGGCATTGCCTAACTGTAAACGTAGCAAGCTGTGCATAGATTACATAGCTCGACAGCTCTACGACCAATTTCGCCATGAACAATATGCTATAGATCCACTGTGCAACTTTGGGCACAGCACTTCGTTTCGAATTCATTGGTTTATATTCGGCTTACTCATCAACGGAGCAAGACGCAGGCAAATAATTATCAATGCATGATGATGCCAAGCTGAACGCGCGCATATCGGCTCTGCCCCCGCCCCTGCGATAAATGGAGAATGCATCAACTAAACGAGCAGACCAAAGGTGCAATATTTGGAGCATATTGATTTGTAATTGACAGGCCATAAATGAATCTGAGCAAACATATTCAAACATTCTATAATCAACGAAATGAACATTGTTGCCATGCAATTGGTGAATCGTGAACTCACCAAATGGGCACGACAAGGCCGCCTCCTGCTTCCAGGAACTTCACATACGAAGCCGCTATATAGCTGGCCGGCTTCGGCTCAGCGCTTTTCTCATACAAGGCACTAGCTATATCCATGCAGAGCACGCCAACCACACACGGATCGCGAGTCGATTTATCCGCCTTGTTTGCCATTTGCCGCACTACTGAATGAAGGCCCCCACCCGCAGCTGCATAAAACCTCAGAAGTAAACAACAATGGACGCTGCAGTCGTCCATCTTTATCAGGCGTCGGCGCACACGCGAATATGTACCCAATATAAAATCTCTAGCTTGAGACACAGACGGACGATGGGGGGTACAAATTGGCGAACGGACGGACGGACTGCACGGCGGGGTTTGCCAAAAGGCAATATGGCTAGTCATAATAATTTAGTGAAAAAGTGTAGAAATCTAAAATGATATGAAACAAAGGAAGAAAACTCGAACGCACAATCAGGTCATAGCTAACGTGATTCATTCGAGAGAGACACAGATACAAGAGAGGGGTAGAAAGAGATAGTTAGAGAGGGGGACAAAGAGAGTCACTTGAATAGCGCAATATCCAAAAATTATATTATACATTTGGTTTTAATATTGCGAATTTTTTTCAATATCTGCAGCGCTTATCATTGTTTACAATCATTAACTGGGCTACAGTGAAGCATAGCTTTAGGCGGCTGCTAAAATAATTTACATATACAACTGAACAAATTAAAAGATAAGACAAAGGAAAATAGAAAATTAAGTCTTAAATAAATGATCATTTTATTACAAGAAAAAAATTATTACTGAGCTTATTATTTCGATAGACTGCAACAGTAAATCTTGCACTGGAATGCCAATAACGCGAAATGGCAAGGATCCTACGAATCAGATGGACCCAGAGGACGAGGCGTCAAGAAACACAAGCAACGATTTCAGTCAGTATGTTTCTGACGTTTCTGCTTTTTAGATGAGGATGTGTAAATAATACAGGATGTGTAAATAATACTACACATTTGCATTTAGAATGGATATGATGCTGGACGGAACTTGGCCTTGTCAATAGCTAAAATTTTTTTCCTTTTTTTTGCGCACTTGATAAAATTTCAATTGATAAAATATCAAAGACATAATAAAGAATTAAGAAAAACATTTTTTTTTTTTTTAATAAAATCTTTTCTGGGTGAATTTTAAGTTTTAAGGAATTATTCAATTCTTCAACTTGCTATTTTGCCAACATTTATTGGTTGAAAATCAAAAGCCAGCTAAGTGACAGAGAACAACTCTAGTAGATGTCAGCACAATCGTAATCCACAAATAGACATTAGTACGCGCAAAGAAGTTGAATTAGCATGGCCAGAACAGTCGAACTAAATGCGAAAATCAAATGAAATTCGTTGAGTTGAGTTGCAGCAGCATTGCGGCCCTTGTAATAGGAATAGTCCGGCTGCCCGAATATATACTGCTGCACATAGCTGGAGCCTAATATCGAAGTATACTCCGGCTTGTAGTTGTAGATCAGCGAACGCGCCTGCTCTGTGGCATTGGTGTAACTGTGGGAATTGCGGCGCGCCTCGTTGATGAGGAAGTCGGCGAAATACTGCGAGCTTTGCACCGCTGAGCGGGTGTGCGGCACGTTGTTGCTGACAAACTCGTAGAGCGGTTTCTCGGGATGAAATTGTACGCCATAGAAGGGATAAGTCAGATGCTCAATGCTGGACACAAATTCCAGGCCATTCTCGTCATGATTGAGGGACATGATGCGCCACGAGTTGTTCAATTTGGGCACAGTGAAGCTCTGCTGCGTGTAGCAGTAACGATGAAAATTATAGGTGACATTCTCATTGCTCAGCTTCCCGATGAGCTCCTCGCTGGCGCCGGCAAACAAACGACTCTTTCTGTAGTCTGGAAGGGAGTTGTTTTTTTTTGTTATTAATATAATCACAAGATGATTCTGGTAGTCTTTCGTGAAAGTTTACCCGGTTTCAGTTCCAGTGGCAGAGCCTGTCCTATGGACTGGCAATTCGAGCGCGTTTCCGTATTATTTGCCATTTTGAGGACAAGCAATTCCATGCCCAGGCACGTGCCCCACACCGGAAAATAAGTGCCGTTATCATTCAGCTGCTTGGCCACGGCTATCAAGTGCTCGCCCGCATCGCCATAGCCGTCTGTCTCATTGAAGTAAGTCGCGCCGCCAGGCAGCAGTAGACTAAATGCAGATTACATGAACTCAATTAAATTAACACAACGTTTGATTCATAGGCTGGCATACCCATTGATCTTCTTGAGCAACTGCTCGTAGTAGCTGCGATTGTGTCCAATGCTTGAAGAGTTAATAAGATGCCATAAATTAGCTTTAAGTCAGAGTATATACATATATGCTAAATATACATTTGAAATCTGCCTGTCATGGCACACCATCACAGCTGTAAACATCACGCCTTATCTGATCTTAACTATGATAAGGCCCGGTCGACTCTGCCGTGTCCGTCAGCACTCACCCAATGGGCACCACCCGCCCGCCGGCGCCCTCCACGAACTTCACATAGGAGGCGGCTATGTAGCTGGTGCCATTGAAGTTTCTGCTTATCAGGCCATTTGGATAGACCTCCTGGGCGAGCACGCCGATGATGGGGGACGTGGTGCCATTAACATCGGCCACAGACGATGGCACCAAGCAGCAGAGCAACAGACCGACACAGATCGAGCGCATCGTGCTCAACATCTTCGCAACTTCTCGTTGTTGTTGTTGTTGTACTCTCTTTAATCGAATGCGCGCAGCTCCTTCAGTCGATGAACTAAGCAGCACTGATATTGCGAAGCAAGCAGCATTTTCAATTTAAATTCAATTTGTACAGCAAATATTTGCCAAATGCCTCGCTAATGTGTGCGTATCTGTCTGTATGTGTGTGTGTGTGTGCATTGGCAGGTGTAAGTGATACTTGAGTTTGTGTGCACCCGCTGCAGGGCTAACTGATTAAATTATTATCACCGTGCAGTGAGTGATTTGTCACGGGGAACTTTTATCTGGCTTTTGGGCACATACTCAAATAATTAAACTAACTTAAGCGCTCGCCACGCCCACATGCCGCTCGCCCACTGATCAGCAGCAACAAAGACGATAAAAAAGAACAAAAAAAAAAAAAAAAACAAGTTGATCCGCTTATACAATTACCTTACAACTGCAAGTCATTAATTTAGTAGCACCCCAGCCAGGTGTAGAAAGGTGATTTTCGTATTTCTCATTACATTTTCCACTTTAATCGATCGTTGCTTTTAAGAAACACAAAATAAAACGAACAACATATTTGTAGTCTTTGCCGGTGCTGCCCGCTGTTTGGTTCTCCTTTTCTTCATCTACATGTTAACGTTTTTCGGCTATCGATGTCCTATCGAGTAATCGATGTGTATATTCACGCTCAGTTGCACATCAGCTGTTGCTGTTTTTTCTTAATGCTGTTTTGTATACTGAGCAAATATTTCATCTCCACCAGCGTCTGCTTGACAGCCGCCAGGTCTTTCACTTTGAACTGTGCCGTTAGTTTATTCGCCTTATCAGCGAGCTCTTGTACAATTTGTTCATATAGCTGATCAAGCGCCTTGCTATCGTCAGCCTCTTCCACCTCCTCGTTGCGCTCCATCATGGCCATCAGGAAGGCCGTATTTAGTGCACTGTTATCCTGCGGCATCTGCTCGCCCTCCAGCTGCAGCATATATTGCCCTCGCTCCACGGGCGCCGCCAGTGTCTTATATGCCTTGTTGATTAGGGAACTCCAGTCCGCCGAATTGGTTTGCTCGCGGGTAGTTCTGCAGGTGCAGGTGGTGGCCATAGGTCAGAGATGGAATACTAATTATTAATCTGTCAACTCACTTATTGCTGTATTTATCGGGATGCACGCGCGCCTGCAGCTGCCGGAAGCGCTGCGTCAGCTCCGATGCTTGCAGTTCAAACTTCGTGGGAAAATTTAACAGCTCAAAGTAGTTCTATCGGTGGGAAGAACTTAGCAGTCAATTATATATGCATTCCATGTGCCAGTTATTTAATTACTTGCCGTGTTATTATCCACATCCTGCAAGCTACCGCAATCCCCGCAAATCATGTTTTTGCCCGGCTTTTGACAATTCCAGCATACTGATGACGCGTGTCTCGCCGTGAGTGCATTTATTCCATTATTATTTAATCCACTGAAACCAGTTCTTAAATATGCAAATGTCCGCCGCATTTTGCAGCAAAAATGAGAAAACTAAGCTCATCAATTACACAAGCGAACTCACAATAACAAAAAACAGCTGATATGACAGTTCACAACAGTCTGGCAACGCTGTCATACAGCCGAGTATTCTCTCACATTCTCTTTTAAGAGCAATACAAAATAATAATAATAATTTTGTATTTAATGCAAGCGCAAAACTACTAATAAATAAAATGCATCTATATACAAACATATATATATATTTTTTGCATTTAATAAAAATAAAAAAAATACGCAACACTTCAAATTGTGTTTGCTGCTCCAGGTGAGGCTCGAACTCACAACCCCGGCATTGCTCATACACAGTTACTGATTATAAGTACCGTGCGCTAACCAATTGCGCCACTGGAGCCTTGAGAAATTTTTTGCCAAATGCCTTCTTTGTAATCTGAAAGAAAATTCCAGGCGTTCCCGCAACCCCTTTTACAAAATTTCCAACTTAAATCCTAGATTTTCACAGTGAAACGAAACTCAGAGAAAACGGTGATTTCAAATCGAATATATTAACGAAATACATTTATATATTTCGTTTGCAATTTACGAAAGGACATATTTATTTATATGCTTTCGTATATATAGTATATTAGGGATTACAAAACTAACATTTAGATTGAGTCTTTCCTGTAGGCTCTGTAGTTGTTCATTTCGGTGGGAAAAGTCTTGAACAACTCCAGTAGCAGATTGGCTTTAAATTTTTTCAAGCTCTCGATTTTGCCCTTCACTTCTTCATTCTTGGCCAGCGCCTTTTCCACACAGTCCTTTGTATAGAGCTGAGGGTTCTTATCCTGATCGATGTAATCGAAGAACACTTCAAAGGGCACATAAACATCCTGCACCAGTGGCCGCAATTTATCTATTTCCTGCAAGCCGGTGACCAAACTGTTGCTGCGTTTTCCAACAAAAAATAATGGTTTAAGCTTAGTTTATTAATACATCGCAGAGTTTCTTACATTTTTTGATTGAGAACGTTTTGGCCCTGCGGTTGGAAATCGCTTACGATTATACGTATTTGCCTAACATTCTCGATGAACATTTCTAGTTGCGTTTCCAAGTTTTCTAGCGCCGAAGTCATTTTCAGCAATTTTTTGACAATTTACAAATGTTTTACACAATTTTTATATAGCTTTTTCTAGAGACTGTTGTTTGCTCAGCTGTTTGTTTATATCTGTAGCTGCTTCTTCCATCTCTGTTCACTCATGCAGGATATCGATAAGCATATGTGACAATGTGTGACTTTCGATAGTTTACTAACAAGTCCACTCTGTGTGCAAGTATCGATACACTGCCTGCCGGAGCGAACAGGGCATATTTTTATACTTTTTAATAAATATAACAAAGTAAAAATATTAAATTGAAGAGTAATCATGTCTGACGGCGATTTGGATGCATTGCGTGCACAGCGCATGGCGGAATTAGTAAGTAAAAGCAAAACCATGTGCTCAGCAAATGTCAGCGGCAAACTTAATGCCAAATGCCAAAAATAGCAACAAAAGTAAAAGAAATAAAATAAACAATATATAAAATATTTGAAAAACGAATCCATCGAATTAAGCATATACTATGCAAGTTATGTTTGATGTCTTAAAGCACTTTAGCATGACTCATAGCTTAGGCTGTTGCGGCTGGCTTGCTGCACACCTGTGAGCGAAAGGGTATCCGCTAATCAATATACCCCTTCAATGCCTATATAGAGTGGCGGCGGTGGCAACAATGCTGAGAAGCAACAGGCCCAACAGGAGCAAATGCGCGCCCAGGAGGAAATGAAACACTCAATACTCTCCCAAGTGCTCGATCAGCAGGCGCGCGCACGACGTACGTAAACAAAGTGATACAGTGAGGCCCGACTAACACAAACTATCTCCATTGCAGTGAACACACTGAAAGTGAGCAAACCCGAAAAAGCACAAATGTTCGAGAACATGGTCATACGTATGGCCCAAATGGGCCAAGTGCGAGGTAAACTGGACGATGCCCAATTCGTCAGCATCTTGGAGAGCGTCAATGCCCAGATGCCACAGAGCAAACCCACAGTGAAGTATGACAGACGCCGTGCAGCCATAGACAGCGATGACGACGAGGACTATGGCTGCTGATTATAGCTCAAATGGAGTCGAACTGCTTCAGCTTTTCCTTGGATCAGAACCATGCAACCGAATTAGAATTCGAAGAATGTGCTTTAGGGATTTCGCTAATTTTATCAACTATGTTTATTAAATGAAGAAAAAATGAGAGAGAATACAGTGAACCTTGGTTTGTCACTGATTTTTGTATGTGCCAGCATATGTATTCCATGCGGTATAACAATCCTTATAAAGCAGATCTTAATACTCTTTGTAGACATTTCTAGAGACAGGTCATTTTTCCTGTAAGAGAGACATCCTAGATCTCCCGTATCAAGGTTCTCTAAGGTCTCTTGTTTCTCTCACTCCTACAAAGAACTATATAAGTTAATCTTAAGAAAAGCTGCGACTGTCTGTAAGAAGACCTTCCAGATTTCTCGTTTTCATGGTAACAGCTCTGATTCCATTCTTGGATTCTCAAAAGCATATAAAAGTACTTTTATACCTCATAGAAACGTAGCCAAGGTCTCCTCGCTTTCATTATAAAATCGTTTGTGAAATCAAAGATTCATTAGTTCTATCAGCAAAATGTAGTTTATGTCGTTTAAAATAAGACTAGATTTTGGCTTAATGCAAGTACATTGTAAATTGTAAGAATTGCACTAACAATGGGATGAACTATTTTTTGAGAGTAGATGCTCCTGCAGCTCAACATATTCTTCCTCCAGTTTGTGTACTCATTGTAGTAATCCTTCTGCTACTTATATGTGAGACGACAGAGAGAGGCGTAGACTTCTCTATCAACTCTTCCGCTGTTCTTCATTCACATCTCTCGCTTCTTTTCCTCCTTCCTCTTGTAATCCTTTACTCCTTCTTTTCGTGATCCTCCTCCTGCTCCTCCTCTGTGACCAGGCAATCGCCACAGAAAATGGAATATAAGATGAGCGACAGAAAGCCCAGTGGCAGGCCAAAGATGACAGTCATCAGCACTGGATTGCCACGCCACATTTCGCGCAGGGAACGCTTCAGCTCAAAGAGTGCCCGATTCACTCGTACAAAATACGTGTCGCCGCCATAGGCCGTGGCGCTCTCATTGCTAATTGATTCGAGGAACAGATGCAGAGCCTGTGGCGTCATCTGCAGCGGATCGTCGTCGGGTATATAATGATGCTGAGTCGTGGAATTCAGCGCTATCAAATGAGGCGTTGGCAATTGGTCCAGTATAATGGAATGTGCTATGGAGGGATCGCCAATCTGAAAGAGCCAAACAATTAGGAACTGAAAAATAATTCAATTAAGTTTCCTGCTCTCACCCATCCAAATTGGAATTTGTCATGGTAACGCGGTCGATGCTTGCGTATGACACCCTCAACCATGTCGCGGAACTCCAGCTCATGCGTCGCTATCTGACTTAGCTTATCCTCCTGCACCACAGCGAGGACCAAGAACTTTTTCGTCTTCAGCAGCTGATGGATATTGAAACGCGTGACCTTGGGGAACAGCGTGAAACGTTCCACATTGACCCATTGGAATATTGTTTCATTGACATCATTTGGATCCATTTCGTGCGCCACATGTCCGTGTGGATAGAAATGATGCTGCTCCTCCTTGTACACAATTACAGCGGGCAACTTCTCGAAATCGAAATGCTGAGCAGCAATCTCCTCGCTCGTCGCATAGAAGAATCCGTGCTCCTGGTAGCCCTCGGCGGCTGCATAGTACGTGTCCCAGACAACGCCTTGCTGGGGGCCCACAAACATGAAGAAGATCGTATGGGAGCCTTTCAGCATGTCCACGCTGTCGGTACGGGTGACCAGCTGGACAGGTGGACCCGACATCCTCAGAGCGTAGTCGACCAGCTCATCCTTGCTGCGATCCCCATTGTAGGTGAACTCCATGTTGCCCTTAATGAACATTATTGTGGGATAGCCACGCACTTTGAACTCCCTTGCTGCAGCTGGGTATTTGGTGCAATCCAATCGTCCCACTCGCACATTTGTCGCATGGAGCGCCTGAGCGACGAGCGCAAATATCGGCTCCGTCTTCTTGCAATAGCCGCACCACGGGGCATAGAACATCACTAACCATTGACCTTCATGGCGCACATCGATGAAGCGATCGCTCAGTTCAAGGACACGCGACGATATGGCCGGCGTGCCGAGGATCAACAGAAACAGCAATGGAAGACTCCAGCCCCATATTGATTGATGCATCTTGCTGGCTGGCTGGCTGCTGCAGTTAAATGTTGCTGAATGATGGTAACTCGTTCCTGCTATTGCATAATTAAGTACGCTTCATGTGGGCTTCTTTTTTCAGTTTTGTTAGACCGTCATCAATAATTAAATTAGCAAACAATGATAACTTTTCTAAAACCGAACAAAAAAATCCACCCCCATACTTGGTTGTTTAGCTCTATTGTGAACTAGCTCAATCACACTGTGACTTGCTGCACAAAATATCGATGACTCAAACAATCGTGTGAAAAGGTAGTGAATGTGAATCTGCATACTTTTCATACATCACACTAAAATCGATTAAAATAATTGCTTACGAACATTTATTTAACTTACTTATAATTTCATTTTCATTTTATTAATATCAATTTACACACCCAACTCTAAACCAACTTCATCACATTCTGTCACTGTGCATATCGATAGCTATAACAATCGTTTGGCCAGCGCTGTGACTGGCATTGTTTACATCGTGTTTTATGCAGTCTGGCAAGGCCAGTGACAAACGAGCTCGACGCACGTGTGATTTTGTTTTCTTTAAGTAAAACTCAATTTTATGCAAGTTTTACAATGAAAGCAAACGTGCCCATCAAATCGAAAGGCACCGCCCAGGTGCACAATGCGCGTTTCTACACAATAAATCCTCGTGCGATTGTTTGTCTGGCCTATAGCAAGCTGCTTAAATGCCTGGCGCTCAGCCGGTGAGTAAAGTATAACATTATAATTATGAAATAAATAAATTAAATGAATTTGCATGTGCTGTGCAGTGACGATGGCTCCATAGAGCTGTGGGACATGAACTATGCACCCTATTTGGAGAAATTTATAAAGCTAACGCCCGAGTCGCAGGTGGAGAACATGGCCTGGGCTAGCAAGCGACTCTTCTCGGTGGACTTGACGGGACAGCTAATTGAGTGGGATCTGAATACGTTGCAGCCCCGGAATGTCCAATCGCCCACAGGCAATGCGCTATGGTGCCTGGATGTAAACAGTGCCGAGACCGAGCTGGCCATCGGCTCCGAGGAGGGACACATCAACCTAATGAGCATTGAGCATGATGAAATCAACTATAAATTGCTGTTCAGGAAACAAGAGGGACGCGTGCTTTGCTGTAAATTCGATAGGCCAGGCAAACGCCTCGTTACTGGATCAGTGGGCGCTGTGCGCATCTGGAATGTGGCCAATGGACACCCGTTGCACACCATAACCCTATCAGCCAAGAATGTCATTGTCTATACGCTGCAGGTGCTGAAGGATGATACAATAATAGCAGGCGACTCGGCGGGCTATGTCACCGTTTGGAATGCGGAGAATGCAACACAACTGGAGTCCAATCAGGTGCTCGATAAGCACGTCTTTGCTCTGGCCCTGAACGAGGAGGAGGATCGTCTGGTGTGCAGCGGCATGAGTCCGCCTCTGATACGTGTGCTCAGCAAGACCCAAATCAAACGCGAAGAGTCCGTTAGCCAACGCTGGGTAAAGTTTCTGCAGCGTCAGGTGCACAGACATTATGTCAAGGCGCTGCTAGTCGTCGGCGATCGCATTATTTCCGGCGGCCAGGATGGCCTGCTCTGCATCTCATCCAGCACCAAGTCGCGCGCCTACACCGCCAAATATGCGCCCTATCTGGCTGGCAAATGCGTCAGCTTAGCACCGAGTGCAAATCTAATGCTGCTCCGATATCCGCAGTGCTTGCACTTGTGGCGCTTGGGCGTGCCGAGTGACCACACAACGGAGCATCAAGTGGCGCGCATGGCAGTGGGCAGATGTGAGCAATTGAAGCTGGAGGAAGGACCCGAAATGCTACTGCAGCTCGTCGTGGGCGCCAATAAGTTCATACAGGCGTCTGCCATTTCGCCGGACAGCAAATGGATTTGCTACTCGACGCTGGACGAGCTGCGCCTGAGTCGTTTGCAGCTGAAGCCGCTGGCCGTGACGCGCCTGACAGAAGATTTGCCCGTCGAACTGAAACCGGCCAAGTTCATCATTTTCGGCAACGACTCGCTCTGGCTGCTGCACGCGCCCACATATCAAATGCGCTGCTTCACTCTGAAGGAGCAACAGGTGAACTTTGCCTACAGCATCGACTTGAGCAAGGAGATCAAGTCACCAATCAGCCTCGTGGAGCTGTCGCCATGTGGCAAATACCTGATCGTAGCCAGCACCAATCATCTGATTGCCGTTTGGCAGCTGCGCGGCGCCAAGTCGAAGCACCTGCTCAACCTGCCGCGCTACAAGGCGGGCACCACAGCGCTGGCCATGCACGCGGGCAGGCCGAACCTGGTGGTTGCCTATGCCGATGGACGTCTTGTCGAATACGATCTGCTGCAGCGACGCTTCGTCTGCGAGACCGAGAAGCATTTTGTGCCAAATGCGCAGCTGCATAGCGTACGCGGCCTGCTGCTCGATGCCAACAATCCCAGCATTGTTATCGTCTACGACGAGGTGCATCTGTATGTGCTGCAGAGCTGTGAGCAGGAGGAGGAGCAGCAGCAGGAGCTGACGGCGCCACTCTCAAAAGCCAAGAGGCTGAGCAAATCGCTGGAGTCAACGAAGCTAAAGACATACGAATTGAAGATGAAACTCAATCGACAGGTAAGCAACATAAATCTACGATTTAATTAATTAAATGAAACTAAATAAAATTCAATTATTTTTCATTCTTTCAGCATTTGCTGCAGGTCTGCAGAATCAACGAGCAGGAGCTGGTGACGATTGGCGTGCAGACGAAGAATTATTTGAGTGCGCTGCCTCCGCCTTATCAGCGCAAGAAGTTCGGCGCTTCGTAGTTAGGAATTCACTGTACCACTACAGTAGTAACTAGTTAAGTTGTAAAAAGCAAAGTAAACGAAAAATTGTTGAACGAATGAAATGTATTTTATCGTGCTGCGATAGACACTACCTGAAGATGTCAAAATGTGTGATCAACGGTACAGTAATCACTGGCTAACTTGTCAAGTTAGGTGTGGTACAGTAGACTCGCGCTAAGTGTGCTCAGAAGGGACTTGCCTCAACAGTAATACCTCAACATGGACTGAAAGCCTTTGGCTGGACAAGGCTTGGTTTCTTACAGTAGACACTCGCTAACCAAGCCGACATGTGTCTTGCCACTACAGTAATACCTCACAGAGAAAACTATTGTTCAGCGAAATTGAATGCCTTTGGCTGGCACCGAAAATTTGTTCACAAATTTGTCGACTGTCAAGAGGGACAGAGAGAGAAGAAAATGTGCGGTACGGTGCACACTGGCTACACATGCCAAATGTGCTATGCAATTCGTATCGTTTTGTTGTTCTGTTATTTTGCTTTATTCTCCTTTTTTCTCTCAATTTTTTGGTTTTTTTTTTGTTTTTTGTTTTTTGGTTTTGGTTTTACACTGTCTAGCCAACGTCTAGACAAGTGCATACCACACAGACAGTCGAAAGCGAACACACGCAGCACAAGAGCGAGACGGAGACAGGCGGCTGTGTAGGAGAGAGGGAGATGGCAGGCGAGTCTGTTTGTTGCACAATTCAACTTTTAGCTCAAAAACTCATTGCCCAGCTAGGCCCTATCAAAACCGCTCTAACCACCCGCTACGCCGGCACCACCCGCCCACCGACGCTGTCTGTGGCTAAAAGTATCCTGCAGCCATATTCCAATGCACTGGCATTGCCTGCTCTCGTTTGGGTCCTCTGGGCTTCTCCTCCATTTGCATACAAATTTTTCTAGTTTTTGTTTGCTTCTTTCTATTTTTTTTTCGGGCATCCGTTTTCCTGCTGCGGTTGTGGGCGTGCCTGTTGGGCATTTGTCGGCCGCATTTCCATTTGCATGCAGCGCCAACCGAGACACGCTGCCAAATGGACATAAATAATCACTGATGGAAATTGTTTAGCTTTTCAAAATCGACGTCAAGCATTTAAGCCTAAGCTGAATTGACATTTGCCCACAGGCAAATTGAGCCTCGGAGAACATCGATAAAAGCTTTTTAAAAGTATGCAACAGTTAAC